TTGCCGTTGTTTACAGTAAAATGGACTGCCTGTTAGGCACCCAATGCTTTGCATACTTTTAATACATTCCCAATGGTGCACTGGGCCGCAGAGAGGCACACCTGAATGGCATGACATTGTGTTTTTTGGATGAATTACACTTCTGCCTGCAGTACCATGATGGATGGGTTAGAGTTTAGAGACTCTGTGAAGAGAGGCTGCTCAACTGTTGTGTTATGCATCATTAAACTAGTCCTGCACTCAGTGTTTATGGGGTAGTATTGTACTGTATTCCATTTCGGCACCCCTGATATGCATTATTGGTACACTTACCATACCAGCCAACACTATACCTCAGAAATTTTACAGCCTGTTCTCCTCCCTTATGTTCAAGGCTTGCTTATGGTCATACTTCAACAGGAAAGTGCATGGCCATATGTTGTGTGCAACATTTAAGCTTTCTTCTTAGCATACCATATTGCATTATTATATTGGCATGCCTGTTCTCCAGATCTGGGGTAGAGTAGACTTTAAGGTACCCCTTGTATTATGGCGAAGTTGTTTGATTTATCGCCAAGTTGTTCTTTCATTTATGGTAGCCTGAGTAGTTGAATGTTATAGAAACCCTATCGTGACGTAATCGGGTGCATGATTCTGGGAAATTTTGAATCATGGGATGTTTTGTAAGCGTTTTTGTGGTGTGTGTTGGTTTGATTCTTTAGACGGTAGAACGGCCGGATGTAGTAAGATTAATTTTAAGTTTCTGTGCGATTTGGAGCGAAAGGGGAAAAGAGCTTTAATTGACTGGTGTTGTAAATGAAGGTTTACTTAGTAGCCATTATTAGTGCCCTGTATGTAAGAAGGATATGCGTCTAGTTGAACATAAAAACGTTCGATCAGAAAGAGTACCTCGTTTGAAAAAAGTAATTTAAGTATGATTGATATTTTGATTTCTACATGGCTCTGGGTGTACGAAGCGAACTCGAAAATCATGGTAAGTGAATATTTGCTTTTGGTAGTGCTTAAATGTATAACATGTTTTTCCTTTTTTATGTTATTTTATTGTTTGGTTTAAAATGTATTTTATTGAGATTATGGTTTTTTTTTTTTTTTTTTTTTTTTTTTTTACCTATATTGTAGAATTGGGTGCTCCTTTGACTTTTTAAGTGAAAATGTATTGATGTGTACATGGACAAAGTAAAGGGAGTGCGCAATGCAAGTTTGTGCAATTCTGGGATTTTTTTTTTAAGTGAAAATAGGTCGATGTGTTCATGGATTAAGTCAAAGGAGTGCGCAATGCCATTTTTGTGCCATCCGGGGATTTTTTTTTTAAGTGAAAATAAGTCGATGTATACATGGATACCATGTTTGTGCAATTGTTTGTCTTGTTATTTTGGCTTTGTGTAGCGGCAATTTTTGGTGGAAAAATCGCCGCTTCGCAAGCCAAAATAATGATTCAAAGAATTGCACAAAATCGGTATCCATGTACCGCCAAAAATCACCAAGTTTCGCGAAGGGGTACCCCAAACTATACTTTTACCCAGATCTGTTGTTCATTGAACATGTCTGGTTAGTGACTGAAGAATCCTAGCCTGGCTAGGAAGCATAGGCTGCCATTCTACAAAACATCCCAAAACCTCTTTCACTCGATACTGCGGACGATAGCAGCAGTTATTGACAAACATGAAGGCAACACTCAGTGCTGATTTTCTTGTCTTCCTCACATGTATTTCAAGTCAATTAACACTGATACTATGTGTAATCTCTGAAGTAAATATGGTTTTGATATCTCTTGTCCTTCTTTGTGTCGCTTTTTGAATGGCAAACACTGTAGCTTATGAGTTGAAGGTTTTTAAAAATGTGAATACGCAATATTTAAAATTTTTATTCTTTGTAAGAATTATGTTAATTTTATTAACATTTAAATTTTGAGTTAAACTTCCTTTCCTATCGATTCTTAATTTCAACGGCCAGAACGTAGTTTTAGAATCATGTCTTAATGCTAATGAGGAAGAGCGGTATTTAACCGCAAAGCTCTACAGTCTTAGCGAGAGAGATACCAGATATTTTGGCTGCACGCATCCGCCTTTTTAGGCTACTCTCTCGTAAGCTATTATTAGCTCAGCCGTACCTTAGGCCCTTGATAGCTTTGCAGTCAATTAGCGTTAAGGGGCCAATTTTGTTAGAATTTTGATAGTTTCGGCTATATCTCTTTAGTTAAGATTAGTTTAATTCTTAGTCTCTTAAGTTCAAGCCCAAGTGTCGGCTTTATTGTACAACTTCAAGATGAAGTTCTGTTACACTTGATTGGAATAATAAAGTGTTATTTCACCCTTCTATCCTGTTGTTTCTTGTCACACGAATTCAAGCGGTTATTCGCTTACTAGTCACTTTATTCTTCACTTTCAACCGTAACCTAGAAATACACAGTGGAGAATCCTACATCTTCACAGAAGCCAGTGAAAAATTTATTGGTTTGCATCATGAAAATTCATATCAGTCTTGCTTTTCATTTTAAATTAAGAGTTCATAGTTGGATCAGTATTGACCTGCTGGGGATCGATAAAATCTTAAAGGGGGGCAATAATGATCAAGGGATTATTAGCCGAATAAACATTGGCAGTTGATCGGCATAATAAAGATTCCAAAACTGATAATTAATTACTTGTTGATATAAATCTGTATCATGGAGTAATAAAGAAACCATGTAAAATAAATATTGGGGATGAAACACAATAAATTATTTAATATATTTTAAAAGTTGCTATTTTTTTAAATATAATTTTTTTTACACAATAAGGGCAATATAAAAAGTAAAATGCAAAACCACATAACAACATAGTATTTAAAAAGAAAAAATAGAATGGAGATTGGAAAATGAGAAGCAGACTAAATCCTTTTGAACAAAATGTTTTGAAATCTAAACAATATATGCATATATAAAGAAAATTGCCTCAGTACGCTAAGTGCAGCTGTCTTATTAATTGAAATCAAACTTTTGTTCAATTCGAATCTCAGAATTTGTGTATACAGTCAAAAGTCTTTAATCCGGACTCGTCGGGACTTCGGCGATTCTGGATTATCGATTTTTCCGGATTATAGATCATCAGTTTAAATCTGGTTTAGATGGCATGCAGAAATTCTAAAATTAAAAATATGAAACTGTAATTTATAAAATAATGAGTAATTATGATCTAAAGGGTATCAAAATTTACAAAAAAAAAAAAGCTTAATATTTATTTGTTTACTTTTTTAAACATTTCTTTCAACGCGCGCATGCGTTAAGCATACATTACACATAGCCGAAATTAGAAAATTGCAACCAGAAAACTATTTGATTTGTATTCGTGATATTTATAATGACGAGGAATTTGATTTAAATCATATCAAAGACGGAGTACATCGAGATGAAGTACTACATTTAGTAAGGAATTATAAGCTGAATAAAATAAAAACATCTGCCCTGAGGATAACAAAAGTGCTGACAGATCAACTTCCAGTTCATTGCGCATTGCGACGTCCCCACCCCCCGCGCAGAGCAGCGTGAAATTAATAAACAGATTTCGGAACGATTAGATAAACAAAGAATATGCCTTTATCCATTTTTTGCAGCAATTCCACTTTTTGTTTGATGGACATCAAAGCATACTTTTGTTTTGTAGATCCTTTGGGAGCTCCAGCATTGGAAATTCTATTTGATATAATCGAAAGTTCAAGCTTACTTTTATAAAATTGCTTTTATAAAATTTACAGTCTGCAAAAAATAATAAGCCGGATCCAATTCGAAGATTAAGGAACAACGCAATCATCAACATTAACTGAAACAGATGATTAGATAATTTTAGCTTATACCGTCCGTTATACATTAAACGCGCACGCGAAAACGTATTCTGCGCTTGCGCACACCCATATGCGCAGTCGTAAAGGTCTTGCACGCACGCATAAACGCCTATGTGCATGCGTGAACACAGCGCATGCGCAGAAAGATTTTAGCTTTGAGGTCCGGATTATAGATCATTCCGAATTATGGGTGTCCGAATTAACGACTTTTGACTGTATTTGGAAAATAAAAAAATGTTAATATAAAATTAATTGTATAAATCTAATAAACCATTTTTCCCAAACTTCTAATACTTAATATAATTTTTGTTTTGAAATTATTTATCTGCTACTATTTGTATTATGATTACATTGTATATTACAGTCAAAAGTCGTTAATTCGGACACTCATAATCCGGACCTCAAAGCTAAAAACTTTCTGCACATGCGCCGCATTGACACATGCACATAGGCGTTTAAGCGTGCGCATAAGACCTTTACGACTATGCATATGCGTGTGTGCAAGCTCAGAATACGTTTTCACATGTGCGTTTAATGTATAACGGACAGTATAAGCTAAAATTATCTAATTTATCTGTTTCAGTTAATGTTTATGATTGCGTTGTTCCTTAATCTTCGAATTGGATGCGGCTTATTATTTTTTGCAGACTGTAAATTTTATAAAAGCAATTTTATAAAAGTAAACTTGAACTTTCGATTATGTCAAATAGAATTTCCGATGCTGGACTCCCAAAGGATCTACAAAACGAAAATGAAGCAACTTAAACAACTTACATTGAAAGAAATGTTTAATAAAGTAAGCAAATAAATATTAAGCTTTTTTTTTTTTTTGTAAATTTTGATACCCTTTAGATCATAATTGTTCTTTATTTCATAAATTACGGTTTCATATTTTTAATTTTAGAATTTCTGCATGCCATCTTACGAGATTTAAACTGATGATCTATAATCCAGAAAAATCGATAATCCGGAATCGCCGAAGTCCCGACGAGTCCGGATTAACGACTTTTGACTGTATAAAGAAAAATAAAAGAGGATCAATGGAAAAAAAATTTCGTTAAAAGGGTTTAATGCAAGAAAAAAGGTTTGGAATCCCTGTTTTAAAGAGCATAATCTTTTGTATTATTCATCTTCAGAGATGAAAAATTATTTGTGAATAATTATTATTTTGTTTTTAATAGTTTGTAAAAGTTGCATTGTGAAATACCTACAAACTACCAAATACTGTCCAATGTGCAATGTCAAAGTACATGAAACTCAGCCATTGTTGAATTTAAAGATAGATAGAACTCTTCAAGACATTGTATATAAAGTTGTACCAGGCCTGTGGGATAGTAAGTATTGTTAAATATTTATTACAGTACTAAATTTATATGAATTTTCAATTACAGTATATGCTAAGTAAAAATGGTTAATAAATTGTCATAAAATGCTGTGTTAATTAAATATAAAATAGTGTAATTTATCCAACTGTAAAAAATCTTTTTATTTTGAGCAATGTCCACAAAATTAGAAAGACAACAAATAAAATACTAAAAATAATGAATATTTTTAATGCGTTAAGAAGACTTTTTGTGTTAAGTTACCTGTAGTAGTTTGGACACTTTTCTATATTTTTTTTTCTGCACATGCTTTAAATTGTTGAAGCTCAATGAATTATTTAGTGAATTTACATTTACATATAAAATCTGGATTTAAGAGAAGTCCTTAAACTGTTTCTTCATTTGTTCCACATAAATTTAAACATGCAATTTTTAAAAATTCATTTCACATTTGTGAATGTTTTCTCCATTAAAAGTCAATAGACTGTTTACCTTCCTTTTACATGCATATCTAGTACAATTATCATAGTTATTTCAAGCATGAAATGCCTTACAATCCAGTAAAGAAATAAAGTACCTCTAGAAGTAGAAAGAGTTGTGTAATAAGAATTACCTATATTGAGTAAGGCTGAGTAGGCATAAAAATACTGTCTAGTTATACCAACTTTTCACTACATTAAATGCATCTGAGTATCCAGAGAGGTTTCATTAAATGCAAGTACTTAATAAACCATTCGAAAACTTGCCAATAGCTGTCTTCTTGTACATAACTCTTTGCTTTTTACAGATGTTTTGTTAATAGGATTTTTTACATTTCTTAACTGAATGCTTTAGTGAAGAGGGTGCATAGGAGAGTGCAAAGGAATTGCAAAGTTGCAAATGTTATCTGCATTTTTACTTCTAGGCAAACCACAATGGTTAGAAATACACTGAAGAATTTTTCCTCTGCCAGAATATACGAGAATGTGAGTAATTACTTAACAATCATACTCAGTGGCTGAAGGATGCAAGTGGTAATTTTGTCAAGATTTGGACTGCAGTTTGAGAATCTATCAAGAGGATAAATTTTTGTTCTGATCTTTTAAGCCTCTTTGAGTTGCCAGGTAAACTATGGAGATTTCTCTGTTAAAATGACCGGTACCCAAACTTTGAGGTCTTTAAATTGAAAAATTTAGAGAAAATTCTTGCACCAGTTTTATTCTTAGTTTATTCTGCACGGCTATTTTTATAGATATGCATCCAATCATTAATATGATAACTTTCCTGGATGGTAGTAAAAGCAATAAATTTAAGTTCATTTTGTGAAGATGTATTTTCAGGAACCAGGAAAACAAGGTCAAGTTTATATTTGGCCTGAAATGTTTATGCTTAAGTCTTGGAATATTCGATGATTCCCTATGCTTATAGAACTCAGATAACAAAATGTATTGAGTCTTCAATCTTAAATTGCCTGTACAGTAAGCAAACCAAAAATTTGCCTTATATAGCAATTTTTTCCAAGAGACAAAGTCAATGATTGATGATACAACACCAGATTTACATTACCATTGCAAGGATGTGTTTCAACATTGCAGTACTAGTAATAAAATGCTGAGCTTTGTTTTGAGCATCATGAATTTTTATAATGTGCTTTCAGAGCCAATGATAAGAATTTTAGCACCATAATCAGACCTGAAATATAAAGGAGTAAGAGGTTGTAATTTAAGCTTTTTTGTGCTGCTATCTTTTTCATTGTCACAGGTCTTATAAGTAGAATTAGACAATTTGAAATATAGTTATTTTAGAAACCTGTTTATTCCATTTCAGCTTCATTAAGAGTAATGTCTAGATGTTTTATATTATCAGATCTCTGCAGGTGTTCATTTTTATATCTTAGATTAATTTGTTAATTTTAGCTACTTATTACCATATTCATATGCTTGCTGTGTATCGATGTTAATAAGATTCCTATTATTAAATTCTTCAGAATGTGACTTTGGTAATATATTTGTGTAGTGGCTCTCTTTCACTAAAACTAGATTTATACACAGGGATGGAAATTTCACTCACTGTGACTAATTGTACTGATCAAATTCAATAAACTCAATTGTACAGTAAGGTGAAATTTCTTTCCATATAATTGTCATATTGGATTAGATGAAACTCAAATTGGTGCCAATTTCACTCTTCAAGAAAAGATAAATAAATATCAATAATTATCTATAAAATTATTGATATCTATGAAATGTATCTATATTATTAATTGAATTATCTAAATTATTAATAATTATCTACGAACATTTCAGTCAAAGGCTAAATTTTGCCTGATTTTAATTATTTTAAAATACTGTGTTTCACTTTCATGTTGTTTTCATGTTCTTTGTTTTTACTTATTTCCGTGATTCTTGAATTTTTCACCCCCCTTTTTTAATGTTAAATGTCTTCTATAAGTTCCACAATATTAGTTTACTTCTCAGTACCTCACATATAGCTTTCTTAAAAATAGTAATTGTTGAATAATTGGCCTTAAAAATCACGAAAACCTTTATATCAAGTTCTGAAACTGGTCTCATGAAAATGCAAAATTACATTTCTTACAGGATCATGCATTTGTTTTTCAATTTAAGATTGCTGAGATATTATCTAAAAGAAGAAACTAAAATCTAAGATAATTCTATTCAAAATATCCTTTGATTGACTGAAATAAACAGAGATTTAGTGGATAAATACTGCCATCTTCTTTTCTATTATAAAATTGTGTACTTAGAGCATCCTAAATCCATTGCAAACTGTCTGAACACTTGTAACATCACTGCTGTAAAATGAAGAGGTTTGAAAAATATTCCATTATATGAGTAAAAAGTAATATATCCTGGTCTTTTATTAAATTATATGCAAAATACATCTTTCCCATTTGTTAATATCAAACATAATAAAGGTTATGTTCAGAATTGGACAAGCTTTGTTTTTATGTAAGCTCAATTGTTTCATGATAAATCGGTTTAGTTTTGTAAAGAATGATATAAATTTGCTGTTATTTATGTATTTTTTCCTCGTATTTTTTGGAAAAAAGGGATAAACTCTTGAATCTACTTAGAACATCATGCAGTGCAGCATTTTGAAACTTGTAGATCTTGGCATTAAGGACAGCTTGTTAATGAGTAAGATGTTATTTAAAAATAGATAAATATTGGCAAGGCAATCTGAAATATTAATATAAGTGATTGATTTAAGTTTTTTATATGCTGTATTTGAAATCTGTGTCTCTTGCATTTTCTAAATAAAAAACGATTTGTTTCTTTGAACATTCGCCAGAATGATTGACGCTGCTGCAGTGACATCTGTGCTAGCTTTCATGGTTGGCAGGATTTTGTATTTGGATACAGTGTTTTACTTTCATATGTTTAAGGTACATGAAAATAAATCAGCTTCTATGTCTGAAATGCCTTTTATTGCAATAACAATTTTCATTTTCACTCATCAAAGAAAAATGCATAAATAAAATTGAAATTTTCTGGCTTATCACTGAAACGTTATAGTGTTTAGTATATGGGTCAAAGATAAACTCTTCCAGGAAGACTTCTTAAGATTAATTAAGCAGTTAGCTATAGCCAGTCGCATAATTAGGAAGCAGAACATATAAAATACTACTAAGCACATTTTTTAATTAAGTTGTTATCTTTGTGAGTTTATCTTAAATGTCTCCCTGAAAGAGTTTCTCTCTCACCCATATACCAAACAAGTTTTGGGACATCAAAAATCAATTTTAAATAACTTAAATACTTTATTTAGTATAATTAAAATCATAAATATATACTATATTGATAACAGTTTATGATCTGTATTTTCAACAGTCATGTGCCTGTTTATTCAGGTTCTCTTTTATCCTGTGAGCTTTCGTCCATGTGGGTATTTGCAACATAGTGTTTTATCGAGTGGGCTTTTGTCAGGGAATTCCCTAAATATTGCATTTCTGATCTTATGAAGCTGTTATCATTGAAATTCATCTGGTTCTTTGGAACTCTTGAAAAAAAAAAAAAATGTCCAAAGTACTTTTCATGACTGTATTTGTTTGTATTATATGAAGAGTTTTCAAGTTAAAATTATTTTATGGGATGTTTAGAAATAGTGGCTAGAGCTTTTATTTTCTAATTGATCTTAAACATGCACTTCTAATTTAAGCTTCTCCAAATATTAAAAAAAGATTTTGTGATAAAAACAGTTTCAGCACTCTTTATATGAAATGTTCAGTAAATACCCCATAAAACAAAAAACTCAGCTACAAGGTGTTTATTATACTTTGTACTATTATGTGTAAGATTTAGCACAGATATTTATAAAAGAAGTTACTGATTTGGAGCAGTGTTTGGTGCCTAATACTGATAAAAATCTAGCATTATTGAACCAAAGTGACTGAATGGCAATAAAAAATAAGTGGCTAATTTTGAAAATTAATAATTCCATGTTAAATAAAGCAGCAGTCATCATAACCATTACAAATGATCACAAAACCATTAATTATTAATATCACCATTAATTTTGCATACAAAGATGTAGAATTTTTATTTAAACTTATTAGAAGTCTAATGGGTGCTTTTAAATTGAACTTCCTGCACTATGAGGACCGCACTATAATAAGTTAGATTTTGTTTTTATGGAACTCTCACAGTGCAATCTTTCATAGAATTATCTACCTTAGTTCAAGAAATTTTGATTTTCAATATTCATTTTTTAAGGAAATGAAATTTGTGGAATGCTCTGTGTAATACTTGTTCAAGGATTTTGATAATCATTTTTCATGATCCTTCTGTTCAGTTTTATTTCATATGCACTCTTGCCATGTATATGTAATTCATTCAGAATTACGTTTTTATTATTTAATTTTCAATTTATAAATTACTGTTATAAAATGTTCATTAGAAATTTCTTCATACCTTCAGATGAGATGAAGAGGCGTCAAGATTTTGAAAAAATGAGAGGTTTGAAGAGATGTGATGATGAAGGTAAATAAATATTAACATTTATATGATATATAATTTTTATGATCACAATAATTTATATATGTATGCATACAAACACTGAAAATTGACATGAGTTACTATAGATTTTTTTTTTTTTTTTTTTTTTTTTTTTTAAGTTCTTGTAGTATTGCATGATTTAGGAGCATATGTTTTAAAAATTATCAGAGAAAATACTTTTAGAAAAATTGCTGTTTATTTTTCCTTATTCTGTATTATATAGTAGATTACAAAGATTTTCTTTTAATTTAGTTTATTGTAGCTCATATTATCATTTCCCAAAAATTTTCCAAAAATGAATTTTGGGGAGAATGGTAGTTCCTGGTAGTGTTCCTAGTTGGAGTTTAATTTAGTATTGAGCAGTGTAGTAAGTTGTCAGGAAAGAAATAACAAAAATGTGCTAGTGTGGCACCAAAAAAGCATAACAGAGCTTTAATGTAAGAGAACTGAATATTTTTATGACTGTTTTCATTCATTTTTTTCCCCTCCGTAATTTACTGGAATCAGTACTTGCTATAGTGACTGCTAATTAGTGACTTTTCACTACAGCAAGTGCAAAAAGCTCCCAGTAGATGTGAATGCATTAAACCCATTTTCGCTTCAGTTATCTGTAATCTTTTTGTTTGTGAGTTTTTGCTGTAATCTTTTTGTTTGTGAGGATGCAAGTGATCCATTACATTGTCATGGCTTAATTTAATTGGGAAGCACTCACATTTCTAAAATGCTGAACTGTTAAAAAAAACTTTTTTGGAAGTTGTGTTAAAATAATATTTAATTAATATTGACTGGTTATGTATTAAGTAACATTATAACTCAAACTGTAGATTTTACATTCTGCATCACAATAAAATTGGTCTCTCTATTTCTTGTTTTTGGCAGCATGAAGAAAAATATTACTAGTTTATTGCCTTTTTTTCCTTTTGTGCTAATTAAAATATGGTATTTGATAAATTCATAGTTTATATACATTTTTTGTTCAAAATCTGCTGAGATATCAGTTTTTGCCCCTGCAAAAGTTTAATCTAATTAAATCTCTTTAGTGATCTATATACTTCTTTGTGTTTATATTGTGTGGAAATATAAGTGGTATTGTGAATTATTTCATGTTTGAATGTGTATGCATAAACTTTATTTCTGACATATGAACAAAATAGGGATCAAAAGAGATTTCTAATAAATAGAGCTGCTAATAAGTAGATAACTTGATAATAAATCTGTACCTCATTAGCACCATGATAAAACCAAAAATTTGCAGACAATAGAAAGTGATTATGGAACATGATCAGATGGTAAAGGTAACACGATCATGCAATTTCTTGTGTACAGGTTGTTCCGTCTTTTTGGTAGATAGGTGGCGCTCTTGATGCGCGCCGATGAAAAATATATCACTTGACGCTTGAACATGAAGAATGACGCATGTCATATTTATTTGATGCTTGATTATGTTTCATGGCCGCTATAGGTGGAAGTAATATAAGTAATATAAGTTTATCGTTAATAAATGTTATTTCTATGTTCTGTGAACTCTTGAAATTTTGATTTGAAATTCTAATGCTCTCCCAACCTTGACTCCTGAAACGAAACGATCTTTGAATTTATGACTCATGAAGAGAGACACCACACATTTTTTTGGGGGGTCTGAAACCCGCGAAAAGGGGAATTACCTTTTGAAAGGTAAGACTTTTGATTCATTTGTTCTTGGTATCGATCTTTGAAAACGAAACATAATGGATGATTTAGCAAAAGAGAAAAAGAAACGTGCTATTGTACGTAGTAAAGTTACTACACTTCTAAATAAACTTGAGAAATTATTATCGGAAGCATTAAGTAAAGAACATCTAGAAGATCTAAATTCATCATATGAATTGTTAATTGAATACCATGAGAAACTTAAAACTCTTGACTCAAAGATCGATGCTCTCATAATTGATGAAAAAGAATATAACGAACTACTTGTATGTGAAGAGTATGATGAAAAAATTATAACGTTTAAAGCTAAGATTGTTAGTAAAGTAAAGAAAATTAACAGTAATGAAGTTGTTGAAAGAAGTATAATTGCAACTAGTAATGGTATTAGTAGTACTCTGAATGGTAATAATGTTGTTACAAGTAGTGCTTCAGTAAAGTTACCTAAATTAAATATTGAAAAATTTGCTGGTGATCCCAGTAAATGGCTCGAATTCTTTAATTCGTATGATAATGCTATTCATTCTAATCCAAGTTTATCTAAAATAGATAAGTTTACATATTTGAAAAGTTTATTATCTGGTTCAGCATATAATTGTGTTTCTGGTTATGCTTTATCTGAAGAAAATTATGATCTATGCATTAAAAGTTTAGAAGAGAGGTTTGGTCGTAAAGATGTTATTATATCAAAATTCATGCAGATGTTGTTACAGTTAGAACCAGTTAAAAGTTCTTCAAATGTTTTTGAGTTAAGAAAGCTCTATGATCAGTTACAAATCTGCGTTAGAAATTTAAGTAGTTTAGATGTTACTAGCGGTTCATACGGACAGTTATTGAACCCAATAATTCTTAAATTGTTACCTGAAGATTTAGCTCTTGAATTCCATAGAAAAGAACATCTAACCAAAATATAGAAGAAGTAAGTGAATTAATAGAGTTCATTAAAATCGAAACTGAATGCCGAGAAGCAAGTATTTTGATTAATAGCTCAAAAGGTAATAAATACACAGGGGTTAATCCTAAACAAGGGTTCAAAAATTATAAAGTCAAATCACAAGCTTCTGCTTTTAACACATCGGTAAAAATGTTTTGCATATTCTGCAAATCAAACGAACATACATCTGCCGGATGTTTGAAATTTTCCGACGAACAAAAACGAAACAAATTAAAAAATGGAAGGTCGCTGTTACAGATGCTTTCTAAAATCACATTTGTCGGTCGTTTTGTCAGGTCAAAAATACAACCATGCGAAAATTGTAACGAGAAAAATCATAATAAACTTTTCTGCCGTTTGAAATCGAAAGAAATGGAAGATGTTAACTCCGCAGATACGCAAAATAAAAACTTTAGTATCTACTTCCCACTGTAACACTCTAAAACCTGAAAATAGTGTGCTTTTACAGACATGTTCTGTTATTGCTCAAAGCAAAAATAAATCGAGAATCGTAAGATTATTAATTGATTCAGGTAGTGAACGAAACTTCATCACCCACAAGTTAGCGCGCGATTTAGAATTGCAAGTCATTAGAAAAGAATTTCTAACAATTTATTCGTTTGGAAATCAGCGCGGTAACTCGCAAGAATTTGATGTATATAGTCTAAAAATAAAAAATAAAAACGATGATCGCTGCCTTGTTGTAGAAGCTATAGGGATAGAATTAATATCATCAATAGAATTCCAGGCGCCATCAACATGTCAAAACATTAAAGAATTTATGACTAAAAAAGGGTTTGGAACTTTCGGATACAAGTCCCGTTAATGAGAACATAAATATTCTGCTTGGCGCGGAGCATTTCTGGTATATACAAACAGGAAGTAATTCAATGATAAATGATGGTTTGTTTATAGTACCGACCATATTTGGATACACAGTGATGGGTAAAGTAAAAAATAATAATACTCGAATTAATGCGTTGTTTTTATTATCTGCCGTTGAAGGAAACACATTTGATTTGCAGTCATTTTGGAAATTGGATTCGATAGGAATTGAAAATGAAAACAAAACATTTTCGGAAACTGATTTGGATACTATTAAGCATTTTAACGACAGTTTAAAATTTAATAACGGCAGGTACGAAACAAAACTCTTTTGGAAGGACAATAAATCACAACTCGCTGATAATTTTTTCGTTGCTAAACAACGATTTCTAGGACTAAAGCATAAATTAAAGGGAAATGATTTCCTATATAATGAATATGATAATATAATTAGAGAACAAGTTGAAAGGGGGATTGTTGAACAATGTAAGTTTGTTGAAAATGAACCTAACTGTTATTATATGCCTCATAGGCCCGTTATACGTGAAGGAAAAGTAACAACAAGAATAAGAATAGTTTATGATGCCTCTTCTAAGTCTGAAGGAGCTAAATCGTTAAATGAATGTTTGATATCAGGCCCTAATTTAAATCCTAACTTGTTGGATATAATTTTAAAATTTCGCGTACATAAAGTTGCATTTTGTGCAGACATAGAGAAGGCTTTTCACCAAATTCAAATTGATAGTGAAGAAGATAGAAATTTTTTAAGGTTCTTGTGGTTTGATCATTCTTACGACAATAGTGACAATAGTTTAGGCTTTAAGGTTTTCCGAATGTGCCGAGTGCCGTTTGGAATGACAACAAGTCCGTTTATTTTGTCCGCCACTATCAAACATCATATTAAGGGTTATGAAAAGAAATATAGCAAAGCTGTTGACATGTTAAATAAGTCCTTATATGTTGATGACCTTATCCATGGAGCAGACTCCGTTGAAGAAGTTTTCTCATTATCAACTGATGCAGTTAAAATTCTTCAAGACGCTGGTATGAACTTAAGAAAATTTGAATCAAATTCCGTATCTTTAAAAAATCATTGGCAAGATATTGGTTTAATTAATAAGGAAGATAATTTGGATAAGAAAACGTTAAAGGTGCTGGGAATAATTTGGGATTTGGATGAGGACACATTGAAATTAGATGTACAAGAACTTTTACAACCAGTTGACTGGAAACACGTTACGAAAGCGAAAGGTATTACAGATTGTGGCAAAAATTTATGACCCAGTTGGATTCATTGCACCCTTTGTTATCAGAATAAAATTCTTATTACAAGAGTTATGGGAATTGGGTATTGATTGGGACACAATTTTGCCCAGTATTTGAGTGAAAAATTTAAAACTTGGTACTTTGAAATTGAAGTTATTCTCAACTTGTGTATTCCTAGAAAATACATATTAAATGATGAATGTGTAAATTTCGATAAAATAGAGCTTTTTGTCTTTTGTGACGCCAGCCTCAAGGGATATGGAGCTGTTGCATA